CTTGCGTCGTGTTAGTCAAACGAGAGGACCTGTGGTCAGTAAAGTGGATTGCACTCATTATTGTCAATATACTACGCTTCTAGTGTAACCTGTGATCGAATGAGAGAACTTTCTGACGTTATATTATGAAAGATCATTGATCATCCCTCACCGACTTCAGGCACAACCAAGTTAATAGATATTGACAATGGTTCAAGAAACATAAATGAATAAGTAATAATTAATTTGAGTGCAGGCTATCAAGGTGTTCCCTAAAATATAAAGGGTTTATCGTAGATATGAAGACCAAGATGGTGCAGCCTTATTCTTGGTCGCAACTTCATTTAGCTTTATAGTGTTGGTTTGACTTTCTTAAGTTGTAACTCTGTGCTTGCCATGGCGGGTAAACGTTTTGGAATGTGCCAAGTCAATATCCCAATGCTGGAAATCACGAATACCATGACAAAGAACACATAAATAGGTGCATTCCACAAGGTCTCCTTGATCTTTAAGTATTGAAGTAAAAAATGTCGGTCTTTTAAATCACGCCAAATACCAAATATGCTATTTAAAAATGAAGAAATATGGCTTTTATTGAAATTTCATTTTTAATATCTAACTTCCAAGGTCTAATAGCTCCAAAAGATTCGTTATAATGTTATTGTAAAAGGAAAGCAGTCATGCGCTGTGAAGTGATTTATATGAAGGAGCTATGAGTGAAGATCAGAGGAAATTTGTGATGAGTAATAATGACGCTGAAATACTGAAATGGTATAACAATGAATGATAATGATAACTAAATATAAAAAACTAAAAATGCAACTACCAGGATCGATTTGGCACTTGGGGGATTCGACCAGCCGGGGTATTCAAACTCGCTTATGGACGTAGTTTGGAATTGTTTGTTAGGCTTTTTAGGAAGAAAAAGCTAAGCAACTAATTGTTGTCCTTAGCTAATACGGTATTGATTTCAACTCTTGTACCGAGTTTAATGGAGGTTCAAGAGTGATTGCATTCGAAATATGACTCATGATAAGCTAAAAAATTAAAAGAATATTCTACCTGTCCAGTAGCGCTAAATGCCACACCGGTGTTGCGATCGTAAGTGCCCCGAGTGCTGCCGGTGGCCACTGGTAGGCTAACAAGGCTGCTTACGCCGGGTCCCATCAGACATCCGTTACCGGAATTGGGGCTGAGATTAATATTAATCCCAGGACCACATACACGACCCTTGCGCCCCCCGGCAAGGCTAGTGAGAGGATTCAGACAGGTTGAAACATCTATGGAATTAGAAAGAACAGGCATGCTGGATCCGGACACCACCACGACCTCAGGACTGGTGCAAGCCCCATCTTCAGCATCAGCGTTGACAGTGTGCTCATTATCAACACCACCATCAGTACCATCTCCTGCAGAGACATCTATAGACTTTCCATTGGCGCTCATGTGGTTGGCGGCACCTCGACGAGACGTTCCGCGCCTGCGTCCGCCTCCACGAGTGGATAGAGGAGCCATACTTGCGCCCATTCCTTGGCGCATCTGATTATAAGTTGGACAAGTCTTTCTACAATTTCGAACATTCGATATGATTAGAGCATTAAAGGAGCGTATAGATTTTTAGGACACGAATATTTAAGACGAAAAATTTCAACATCGACCACATAGAGACAGAGAAAACATGAACACATCGATTAGAGTTTAGCTTAACGCGGTCAGCTTACCGATGTGAATAAAAATTGGACCTCCATTTGCATACGCGACCACAGGGACAGACCATCTGAACTGCTTTGGAACAAGAATAGACATGCTCATTAAAATATTTCCTTTTATTGTAAGTATTTCCACAATGGCGACACTTATATGAAATAGAATTTAAGC